AATCCCGATGCTTGAGTTTTTTATGATATGTTAAATGCAACAAATAAGATGATTTAGCCTAGTTATGACAATCGCTTTCAATATTGTTGCCCAATTGCTAACTCTCAAGTTGGAATATCATTTTTCTAAAAGGTGTTACAATGAGATATGTGGGTTGATAAAAGAGTTTACGTCGGTTGATAACTCGTATGATAGAGGATTTTTATAGCCCCCAAAAGTTGGTGAAGAGGATTGGTTTACCGATAAAAAGATTTATCGTTGTAACAAAGGCCGCATGGTTTTAACAAGGGCTTAATGTTTTAATAACTTTAATTCGTTCTTTAAAAATTATATATAAAGGTCACCAACTAAACTTCCGATAAAAATACTAGCACCGATTTGATTTTTTTACTAAAATTCTAGTTAACCCCGACGGACAGGTGACAAAGCATGACATGTGGACTTTAGCAAGCCATGGAAGATCCATGTAAGCATGATATATAGATTTTAATGAGCCATGTAGGATCCATGTAATTGATTTTTCATATCACTACTTATGTGGATCCTATGTAGCTTGTTAAAATTCATGTGTCATGCTTACACAGACTCGTCATGTCGGTGTTGCTTGGAATTTTAGTTGAAAAATCAAATCGGAGCTAGTATTGCTATCGAAGGCTTAGTTGGTGATCTTTCTATATAATTTTTAAAGAACGAGCTAAAATCATTAAAAAGTATATAGGTTATGATTTTTTGGAATATTAAACCTCATTTATAATATATTTTTCATCAAATTGTTATTCATTTGTTAAACTCGTTTCAAGTGATATTCTTAAGTCATGCCTTGTGGATTAGATAGATATGGTCGCGGTGTTAGTAGTCGTGGCTCGATATTGACTATGTAACTCGATAGTGGTGATGTACATAGATGTGACACTACTAGTACAACTCGTTTAAGGTCGCAAACTTGATGATAGTACTAGTTCGTTTGCTTCCCCTTCGGTAGCGCCTCCACGGTAGCATCCTCATCGATAATGCCTCATGTCGTGGATGATCCCACTATGATTTTCTCGATTTTAAGAAGTTCTACTACATCTAAAGATGGATGGATCATTTAGGTCATGAATAATCGGTAAGTAATATGTTTTACATATGATAATTAGTTTTTTATTTTCATATATTATATTGAAATCGTTAATTCACTTATTTATTATTTATTTGTTTTGTTCGATATTTTGTTTTCATTAAGCAAGTGTTCCAATCACTATAATTTTCAAGAAGCATTTGGACGTCATTGACTCTACATGAAAGTCTCGTCTCCATGGAAACGAAAGGCTTTTACTTCAATGAATTTAGAATAATATATTAATTATTTGCTTATATTTCATTTAAAGTATTAATTGAACATGAAAAGTACTAATGTTATTTTTTTTCTTTATATAGAATTAATTTTTATGGCATACGGCTATCAACGCATTGATTAAATATGCATGCGAGAGTCTAACATGGAGGCAACACGGTGACATGCTCAACAAGTTAAAACATAAGGATAACGGACTTGTGTTTGTTAAATAGAAGGTATGGGAAGCATGACACTAAGATTAGGCCACTTCGAAGTATCATGCCCGATCTCAACGAGCACTTGGAACCGCATGTTAACGATGGGCGATGTTGATGTTAGTGATCCAACACGCCGAGTGTTTGGTAAATACTATATTATTCATTTTGTTATAAATTAATTGTTTCGTTTATTTCATCTCATATTATTTTGTTTATTTTTTTCAACATCATAAATTTGTTCGTAATCCAAATCCTTATGAAGTCGTTCATGACCACTTATAAGCGGAATAATGGGACATTCATCAATAGTTGGTCATATATAGTAATGATATGGTTTTATATTTTTTTGAAAAAAATATATATTTACATTTATCAATGTAAACTAAAAATTTTATTTATAATTTAATATTTTTATTATTTCAATGAATTAGGAGTGTGAGCAATCAATGAAAAAAATAGTCGCTAAAGAGAGACGAGGAGGGTAATGCATCATCTTAGAGAAGAAGTGGAGAGTTTACGACATTAAAACTTATGCATCCCAATGTTACTCGTATGCTAGTGCCAGCTCCTCCTCTACCACTTCACGGTATCCCGGCGGTAATATCCAAGAGATTCATGTCCAAGTACGAAGATCAAATCAAGAAAAAGATCGGATCAAGGGGATAGAGGCTACCATCCAACAATAGGTTAATAACGTTAACGGCATGCAAACTCAATTGGAGAGAGTTATGGAAATTGTTAGAGAACTTCCAACCGCCTCTCGTCCCTCTCACTAACCTCCCATAACCCAATAGTCAATCATTCCTCTCAACGCTCAACTGACCAAAAGATAATGCAAGAGATGCTAACAATGAAGATAAACTTTCTTTTTTAAAAAAAAATTAATATTTTTATACATCTTAATGCATTTATATATTTATTTAATTTTAATTCATATAATTTTAATTTTATTTAATAATATAACATGTTTTAATAAGATATTGGTTATATTTATTTATTATTACAATTACGGATAAACGGCAACTCATTAAAAAAAACGATGAAATTAGCGATGGAATAGAGATGATAATTAGCAACAGATGAATACTCAATCGCTAAATAACGACGAAAATAGCAAAAAAATACGAGGATATTAGCGACTAAAATTTTATGACAGCACATTCCATTATTATTTAGTGATAGAAATAAGTAGAAATAACGACGGTTAACAACGAATACGAGACTTTAGGGAGACTGATTTAGAATCATGTAATTATGGAAAATCAATAAAATAGAGACAGAAGAAAATTCTGTCGTTAAAAAAACAATGATCATCACATAACAGATTGAATTTTGTCTCTAATCCTTCGATAATTCCATATAGTGACGGATTATTTCTGGAAATTTTTGTAGGGAACGAACTTTTATTTGACATATGACTAAAGTCAGTTAGCCTTTCTTAATCAATTGTTATCGGTCAATAATCATCCGTCTATAGCTGATGACTTTGAGGTCAACTTGAAGTTAAGAGTTATCTAATCAAGCTCGTATTGCTTCATTGAATATTAAAAAAAGAAAAAGGATCAGTTATGAATAATTTTTAGGATAATCCATTACATATATACACTATGTTTCCCTCCTTTCAACCCAATCTAACGACATGATCTAGTGCGTTTTGATTTTGTTTAGGAGATCTCCAAAACAAAACAAATAAAATAAATAAATAAATAAATAATAAGGTTGGTAGCTAAAGGAACTCATCAGATAGATAGACAGCTAGCTAGCAAGCAATGTTTGTGCTTGAGAATATTACTAGTGCACCATGCGTATAGCAGAGTATAATTTTCGTATGATGCTTTCTCTTAAGCTTGTCATTCAAAAGAAGGGCCGGGTTCGACATTGAACTGCAGGTTTACGATATCCGGTGACCAATAGAGTACTCACTCATGACTAGATCATTGAACGAGGTTTGCTGTGGATTTAGACTCCATTAATTTCTCTGAAAATAGACCCCCTAAAGAAAATAATTAAGAATACAGTTTAATAACCGATGAATTTTGATGTAATTTTATTATTTTTAAATTTTAACATTATTTATTTTTATATCGTCCAGTTTGGAAAGTTTTGAAAGTCAAAATAAAATTCTAATAATATACTATAGCTAGCTAGGCTACAATTTAAAAATAATAATATCTATATATAGGCTATGGGTGAATACTTAAGAATCGTAATTTATAAATAATTAGTCATTGAAATGATGGCTGATAGGAACTAATATTGGGATATTGGGAAGGATTTCTAATATATAAACGCTTTTCCAATTATTTACTATTGTAGTATTTTCTAGTTTTTTATGATTGTTAATTTGGTTGGATTAGGAAAAAACGAAAAAACTAATATTATTGAGATGGATTTCCGATCGATAAATATTGCTTTACCAATTATAAGCTATGTTAGGATTTTTCTAGTTTCATGTATGTTAATTTGGTTGGATTAGGAAATTTGCAAGATGCTTTTGATAGCAAGCTATGTAGATATAGCTAAGCAAAATCAAATATATACAAATTTTAAGAAAGCGTTAAGTTAAAATGAAAAGTATATTTTTAAGATGGTCTACCAAAGATATTTACTCTTAATTAACATACAAACTCGTTGAAGAATATTTTTTATGGTGAAAAAAAAGCTTCAAAAATTCTAAAAATCAGTTCCTTGATCTACTGTAAATTGCAATGGCTTCAAGTTGGAATTCAAGCTAAAAGAATTCAGAAAAAAATGATGCATCAATTACATCGCTAAGCCAACAATAATAGTTCTGTAACGACAATAAATAAAAATAGAAAAAAGAGTTCGGACTTTTCCAAGATAGCTTTATAAAGGTGTTGTGATAATACGATCGTGACAATTTTTTTTTTTTTTGGACAAAAAAGAGTTGCCCTGGTGCGGTGGCTAGTGGAGTAAATTACAAATTAGTTTTTTTTGTTTTTTTTCAAACGAATTAATTAATTTTATTTATTTAAAAATAGTTATTTGGTTTTTTTACTAATATTCATTACATTTAATTTAATATTATTTTATTTAAAAATATCATCTTTTATTTTTTTGCTTATTTTTTCTTTTTATATTTATTAAAATAAAAGATTAAATTAAAAGAAAAATTAAAAATACAAAAACTAAATAATTTGTTTTTAACCAATTAATTTATTTTTCGAATGAGAGATACTGATTTATAATTTACTCGTGGTTAGTGATTACTAGCTCCTATATATACTAGAAAGTACGAGGCATTCGAGCGTGCACCCATTATGAATCTTCTCTTCTCAAGTACAAATATGCACAAAATGCCGAAATTCTCCCTTGCAAATCCTAGAGACAGAAAAACCCCATTTATCCCGGCCCTATCGATGTTTCTGATTATCAAAATCCTTTGTCTAGCCACTTTTGCAGAAGCTATTACTTCAAAACCCTTTCCATCTCAGTTCGCAAAAATGTCTAGATCCACAACGCCTGTAGCACCATCATCCATTAATAATGCCTCTCCTTGCAATGGCACCCCTTACAAAGCAGCCTGTCAATCTATCCTCCTGTCATTGAGTAACAGTAATAATGCTCTTCCTAAAACCCCAAAAGAACTCTTTGACCACTCATTGCACTTCACCTTGAGCCAAGCTCATTCAGCCCTAGACCAGCTCGCTACCATATTCCTTAGCCAAACCTACCGAAAGGTTGACATGACTCGTTTGGCTAGTAGTGGCATGAGAGACTGCATGGAGTTGCTTGACGATACCTTGGCCCAACTCTCTAAGGTCATCAATCGCAAGAATGACCCTACCCACACCTACAATGATGTCCAAACGTGGCTTAGTGCAGCTCTTACTAATCAAGAAACATGCAAAGAAAGCCTGCTTGAAAATGGTAAAAAATATCATTTAGCGAAGCTAGAAGTAATAGATTCCATGGCAAAAAATTTAAGTCAATCTATCAGCAACTCTTTAGCCCTTTATGTGTCCAATTACGGGCTCACCGGTACTACTCCTCGTGGTCGGAAATTGTTGAGTAATGATTTCCCAACCTGGGTGTCCTCGTCGGAAAGGAAGCTTCTAGAAGCTTCTATAGGAGAGATAGAAGCCCATGCGGTGGTGGCAAGGGATGGGAGTGGAACCCATGCCACCATAGGAGAAGCAATCAGGCAGGTGGCGGCTTCCCTGGAGGATGGGGGTAGAAATGTAATTTACATCAAAGCCGGGACTTATAAAGAGAGCCTCAGGATCCCTTCAAAGCAGCAGAACGTGCTTCTATTTGGTGATGGGAAGGGTAAAACAGTCATTGTAGATAGTAAAAATGCTGACGATGGCTCCACTACGTACGACTCTGCCACAGTTGGTACGTACCTTTTACTACATTAAACATTACATGGCAGTAGTTTATCTAAACGAGTAAAACTTTTTCTGAAATTTAATTTAGTTAAAATTTAAAATTTATTTTTGAAATATCTAAACTTTTAATTTTTTGAGATTTAATTCATTCATTCATTCATTTTTTTTTCATTTATCTCAAAATATAAAAATCACATAAATAGTATTATGAAGAAATTATTTTAATAAGATTTATATAAAACTATTTCAAAAATCATTTCTAGGTTTTTTTTTTAATTTCTTGATTTTTATAGTTTTTATATTTAAAAAATAAATATATTTTTTTTTAGATAATAGATTGGATTTTTTTAATATATGCATAAAATTTTAGTTTTAAAAATATCAAGAATTGGATTTTTTAGGCAGAACGATGATAGCTGAAAATCATTAAATGGATTAAATCTCAAAAAAGTTAAAAATTTAAAGATTTTAAAAATTAAATTTGAAGTTTAAAAACTTATTTTTAAATGAATTAAAATTCAGATAAACTTGATCTATTTAACCTTATTTTTATAACCATGAAACCAAATTTACAAGGAATGTCTTAAATCCTAAACTTCAAATGTATGAGAATATAAATATTATGGCGCAGGTGTTGTAATTATCACTAGTTACGATAATATAGAGAAATATTGACATTTGAGGTCATCAAATATTAAAATAATATTATTAGTTAGATATTAGTTTAAGTGGATTCAAATAACAATTTCTTTTTCAGTTTATTTCTGTCTCTCTTTTTTTCTTTTCCATGTGGAGTTAGAATATTTAACTATTGGTACTTATTCCATAAATACACCGTAAAATTTCTTATGATACATTTCATAAACTTTGCATGTCAAGAAAGTTGTTAGTTTTATTTAGTATAAATTTCACCAAAAAAAAAAAAAAAATTGAATTTAAAAGACTAAGACCTCGATCGTCGGTAAGTAAAAAAATCTCATACACCCACATATATATTAACTTACAGGTTGTAGATCCAACTGTACGTGTTGTGGTGCTATACAATACTGGAATATGAGCTGTTAGTTAATGACATTTGAAAATTTAATTCGGAGGTCCACAATAATAATTTTGAGACTGATTAGCGTGGGCCTAACAAAAGTCATGTCCTTCCCCTACCCTACTGTGTGCATGCATTGCATTGTAATTGCCATTAATTGTTGAGTTTTGGTCATATTTTTTAGCTAATTAAATTAATATGCATCTGCTTTAGGCGTGATGGGGGACGGATTCATAGCGAAGGACATAACATTTGTAAACAGTGCCGGTCCAAGCAAGCGGCAAGCTGTTTCCCTTCGAGTTGGATCTGATAGAGCAGTAATCTTTCGATGCTCAATCCTGGGTTACCAAGACACTCTCTATACTCTTTCCAAGCGCCAATTCTATCGAGAAACGGACATTTATGGCTCAGTAGATTTCATATTTGGTAATTCAGCAGTGGTTTTTCAAAACTGTAATATTTATTCTAGGGAACCCGGAACAGGACAGAAAAACTTCGTGACTGCGCAAGGTCGCAGCAGCCCCGACCAAAACACAGGCATTTCTATACACAATTGCAAGATAGTGGCAGAGTCCGTCACCTATCTCGGTAGGCCATGGAAGCAATATTCTAGAACGGTTGTAATGCAATCCCTCTTGGATGGCTCCATACATCCTGCTGGTTGGTTTCCTTGGGCTGGTGGCTCATCCCCCAATTCGGTCTATTACGGTGAATACATGAACTCAGGCCCAGGGTCCTCTACTTCCGGTAGGGTCAATTGGCCTGGATATCATGCCTCACTTACCTCAATAGAAGCTGAAAAATTCACGGTTGGTAGTTTCATCAGTGGGAATGTTTGGTTGCCGCCCACCGGTGTTGCTTTCGATTCTGGACTGGGTGGTTGAGGCTTCAAATTAAGAAAGGGTCCAAACGTGTGCATTTCACATTATTTATTATAGCTGCCATCTTTGTGTTATTTTCCTAATTTATTATGTTGTTTTCATTTTTCTTTTGTAAATAGAATCTTAATTACTGGTTCATACATCAACTGCCCATGTGTAATTCTTCATGTTCAAGTAATAAAATTATGATCTCTACTTGTTTAATAATCTGAAGAGTCGGTATCAAAGTTGCAAGCGGATCCACTTATTTGACAATCAAATTAACTAATTCTATGAGAAGAAAAAAAATTAATGTAATCGAAAACACATAAAGAAATGCATATCAGATGTATCTTTTAACTTATCATTTCGACCCCTTTTTTTTTTTTTCCAGTTTTGGCGCTTTAACGGTACCAAATTACTTTTGCTCTGGGCTACTTCTGTTATCAATTAATTAGATTAGCATTTGTAAATTGTAATCCATTTATTTGGGCTACATTTATTTCCAGTCTTGGGATTGGGCCATTGCTCTCCAATATATGCTGATTTCTGGTCCATGAACATACAAATCTTGGATGAGCTTCGGCTTCACTACGTTTTCAGTTAGCAGCCTAATTAGAAACGGAGTGCAGCCCAAGCCATACTGATGTCCATGGGTCAATTAGCAGTATATAACTTTCAACTCATTAAGATGCAGGTGAATATATAGGTAGGCGATAGTATTATGAGTAAATTATAAATTAGTTCCTTCAGTCTCCAGAAATGAATTAACTAGTCTTCAACTTTTAAAAAATTAATTATTAAAATTTTATATTTTCTTTAAAATTGATTTTTTTTTCTCTTTATAAATTTATTTTAATTTTTTGTTTTAAAAAATAGAAAAAGAATAGGAATAAGTAAGAAATATTAAAGGAGCGGTGAAAAAGATGACATTTTATAAAATAGAATAATATTAAATTAAACGTTTCTAGGTTAAGAAACTGATTAGTTTTATGAATAAAAAAATTTATTTAATTCGTTTCTCAAAAATACAGAAATTTATTTATAATTTACTCGTAATATGATTTTTTTTTTTTTTTGAGTAATGAAAGCTGAAAAGGGTTGCATTACAATACTATAGCTACATAACCAAATTGTATGAAAAATAATATAATCTTAATGGAATTTTTCCATATCACAGTTTCAACGTACACTTTTTTCTTTCTTTTTATAACCAAACAACTAGCATGGATTTCAACCAAAAAATGGAGATATCTTAAATTTTAAAGCTTAGAATTTATGACTTTCCACGTATTAGTAAAACAAGCTTTCATCAGCTAATGGCGTGCCTATATTATTTTCAGCGGAGTCCATCAAAGTTATCTTTTAATGATTTTTGTAGATATATATAGAACATGAACTGGTAATATATTTGACTATCATATCGCAATATCACGAATTGTTCGTTATTTATAATATAAAATCAGAAGTGAAAAGTATTAAAGTAATAAAACGAAAGGGAAAGCATTGGAAGAGAGAGATGTAAGGGGAAAAAAGGAGCCAAAAATATACTTTATAGTATATCTCTAAAAAAAAAAAATTGATCTTAAACGATATAATTATTAATTTGTCACATGATGTGTTTCCTATGTAAATCAAAATTTTGAAAAATAAAGGAAAAAATAGCTATCGGATTGATTTGTTATTAAAGACTACACGGGAGATGTAAAAAGTAGCACTTGTTCATTAATGCATTTTCAAGCAAAACTTACTTAAGTGACCTTTTGTAGTTTAGTTTTTTAATTTTTTTTTACTGTTACATCAATCTAAAATCATTTATTACCTTGTGTGTACTTTAATACACACAATTTTTTTTTTTTTTTTTTTTTGTGATGACCCTAAAGAAATTGAAAAATGTTAAATATGAGACCTCGTGTATTTAAAACTTCATTTTTCTGTTGAATTACTTTTTATGGTTATTTGTCTGCACACTTATAGACTAAATTTATTGTTATTTGCACTTTTTTACTGTTTATTCAATTTTAATTTTAATCCGTGTACGTTTTACTTTATTTTATATACTTTGATCTTTATAAATCAAATATATTCATTAAACACCTTAGGAAACTAAAAATAAGTTACCCATGTAGGATCAAAAGTTAAGTTTAAAAAAGGAGGATGAATTGACTTAATAAACTTTATAAAGAAATAAAAACTTAATGCAAAAATTGATAAATCAACATCTATATAATTTAATTCACAAAATAAGATAACAATACAATAAGTAAAGAGATAGAAATAGAGGAATCATACATATAATAATGTAATGGATAGGTTGCTACCTGATTAACAAACCTCTCTATGTGAATATTATGATGTTTCTAACATCAATGCTATAGCGCCACATGATCCATGTGTTGTTATGTCTAGTATATGAATAATTTTAGCCAACGAATTTACAAATAAAAAGAAAGACCCAAATTTCGAAATGTGTGCAAGTGTGGTGGTGAAAATTTTGAAATTAATCCCATAAAATCATTTGGGTAGAGCAAAGAATACCTCGAGCCGAGATATGCTTGCTAGCTTCGTAGAGTAGAGCTAGAAGCACAGAAGAGATGGACAATTAATTAATGGTTTTTTATTCTATTCGGACCTATACAAAAAAAAAAAAAAAAAAAAAAAAAAACTGCCGAAAATACTTTGATAAAGGATAATTATAAAAAGAGGCTTGCCTATCCAATCCAATTCAGTACTCCATCTATCACGGCGATGCAGTTAAGAGAAGACATGATTAACTACAAGAAACGCCGAAATATCATATCAAAGAAAGAAAATAATGGATTTTGCTCCATTTTTTTATTCTCAACGAACGTCAACAAGTATATACCCATTATTTTGCACAATAATAACATATCTTGAGTAATTATTTACATATTTTAGTTATCATTTTTAATAACATTACCGGATATATCATCTTAATATAAGGAAACATCGAGTTCTTAGTATTAGAAGATATTAATTAATATAAAGAGAAATAAATCTGTGTTGTGAAAAATAAAAGATATATGAGAATTTAAAGGAAGGATGGCAAGAAGAAGAATTCACTATAAAGTGAATACAAGTGAGAAAACTTCAAGTTGTTCTCTTAATCT